TGTCTTATCACCAAGACTACTTGCCATAAAATTTCTGACATCAGAAGAGGGACATCTACATTAAAGTGAAATCTGAAGACTGTCTAATATGTAGGTTTGTGAGATGGAGTCCTTATCCACAGAAATAGTGTTGTCAGCAGTGCTGTTTGTTTGAATTAAAGCTGCAGATTGGATCTAGTCGTTGATGCTGATCTCAACTTTTATGTAGGACATAAATTGAATACATTACATTTTCTAACACACCAGGCCAGCATTCTCTGACGCAGATACCAAAGCTGAAGTAAATGGGAGCAGGCAGCGTTTTCCAGCCTGAGGTGTCAGGCCATTAGAAATTTCAGGTGCCTGAATGTAAATGTAGTATAGATATCCAAGTTGAAAGATGTCTTGAAAATATATCCAAAGATATATATTATTCTGACAGCACTCTGGAATCAGCTATTACTTCTGACTGTGTGCCAACCCAGCGAAGGAGTCTTTTGATGTATTTCAAGAAATATGTAAGTTCAGTGTCCTGTAACTGCATCCATAACCACCAACCTCTCAGCAAAAAAAACTTGAGAAGGCTGTTTTTTGTTTTTTAATCTTTAACGTTGCACTCTTGTGCCTTCCTTCCTCTCTAAGCTTCCTTTTTGTGAAGATGAAACCTGTGATGCAGTGTTTGCCTATAGGCCTCCTTTTTCCTGTGAACATAGAGAACCCTGAAGAATAAATAAACTTTTTAAGTTGCTGATCCTGCACGTTTGCAAATTCATTGGGGGATTTGGCTCACATGTAAGGACACAAGGATCAGCTCCCAGGGAATAAATGTCAAAAAACATGAAAAGAAAACCCTTAGTAGGCACTGGGACTATAAGAACAAAGAGTGCTTCCAAACTGCAGTAGTGAAAACCACTGGGAAATGTGGAATAGTCTGACAGAAGCAATAAGAATGATGGTTCTGAGTCACGCACTGAATCAGAAAAAAAAGAAAAAGAAGGGGAAAAAAAAGGGGGGGGCTTGATCCAAGTGAATTAAAGCCACTTATATTCCTGGAAATTAATTATTTCCTTTTTATCAAAAAGGAAAAGAGACAAAGAGGTTAAGAATGTAATTACATGTTGCAGAAAGAATTATATGGCAATTTCTGTCTCCCAGGCTTATGTTCAGGGTACTAACCAAAATTCTGACACACTGACAGAGTTTCTGTAGTGTCTCAGCAGCGTTGCCTGCGCTGCCTATTTACTTTTCAGTACTTCCTCTTGGAGGCTTTCTTTTAGTCTATGTTCTCAGCAGGCTTTTAGAGGAAGCTCTGGGTATTATTTTGTGTCCAGAATAAACAGAAAGCACAGAACTGTCTTCTGTGCATAAGCTCTCTCCTTCCCTTGTGAATTTACAAATACTGTAGGAAAACAAAATGATCACAGAAATAGTGTTTTGCTAAACGATCACTCAAAACTAGTGCTGAGGGCTTGGTTCCTTGCTTTGTCAATGAGTTCAAGTGTATCAGGTACATAATTCACTATTTATGTCGTGAAGGCCTTTAAGGAAGTGCTGAAGCCTATCATCTCCCTTCTTTCCTAGTTTAGGCTGAGAATATTTTCATTCCATTCATCTCTGCTTAGATGCAGAGTATCTGAAGACTGTTGCAGAGTATCTGTTTTCAATGCACACTGATGTTTTGCCAGTCATATGTCATGCGGGAACATTCTCCCACTGGTATGAACAATATGACCAGGAAAGAAAGTGAACAGTAACTGCATTATGTCCTGCAGAAGATGGATAGAAGTTAGAGCGAATATGTTTTTGTGCACTGTGTTTCAGCGCCTTGCTCATCAGTTGCACAACGCTGCTAAATTTGTTTCCTTGCGTTTACAAATGAAATTAAATCAAGGTTGTAAACTAGAAAATTGTATTCATATGCTTTGTAGGTTGATGATGACAGACATACTGTAAAATACTAAAAAAGAGATCAGCTGCAATTAGTCTATAAAGAACCTAATCACCAATATGAATTCGACAAGCAAGATTTCAGATAGTTAACTTCATTCTGTCCTACGTACTCACTAAGAACGTCTTTTTGTGTTGATTTTATTGGTGGATGGAAGTTGGTTGGAAATAATGATATTAAGGTTCAGTTATTCATGAAACTGTACCATTTAATAACAAAAATCCATTTGCTTATGAATGCATTTAGGTTGCTGCACCAAACATACCCAGACTCCTATCCTCCAGTCATTGAAGAGGGTCTCTGTCATTCTTAATTGGTTGAAGAGTAGGAAAGGACCAGGGCAATTTCCTACACACTTTTTTCTGGCTCTTCTAGTGTGATGCCCTGAAGTAGATGAGATGCTCCTACCTCACAGAGACTACTGGGTTAAATTAACCAGGATATAATTAAGAGTACAAAAACAACCCCAAAAGTTTTATGGGGTTGCAAGCAGCAATCTCATTATCCCAAAGAAAGTTTATTTCTCGCTGCTTCCCTTGAGAGAAGAGTTAAAAATTGCCCTGTTATGGGATGAGGACTGCTCAACAGATAGCCAGAAAAAGCAATCTGAGAACTAGCATGGCCAGCTGGAGCCTGGCCAGTGTGACTGTGACTGGTGATCCCCTGAAACAAAACTGTGCAGCAGAGGCTGCTGCCCACTGCCGCTGCAGAAAGCGTCCCCCAGCAGGTGCCACCTCGAAAAGCCAGTGTTAGCCTGACCCGCGAGAGTGGAAGATGAAGCAAGGTGAATGGGAATGAAAGAAAAACAGGAAGGGGAACAGTGGGAAAAGGAATTAGTCTTTGTTTTGTGTGCTGGAAAGATCAAACCGCATTGCACTGTTGTAGTGTTTTGATGTACATTTTGTCTTAGGACCTGGCTCTCCTTATGCCAATTTAAGTCATCAAGTTTAATACACAGTGATGCAAATAAGCATCAGCCTTTTGCTTCTCTACTCATACAGACAAACATTTATGTTGGATGCTTGCTTTTTAGTGCAGTAGTGAACCAACAACGCTAAAACGCCATTTGTTTTGCTGTGTCAGGGGAAGCAGCTATCACTGTAGCCACATCACTAAATCACATTACAACCCTTGGTCTAATGACATTTGTATAGATCTCCAGCTCTCTACTGTTTATCACTAATCAGAGTAGTCTGAAGATAATCATGCAGGGATGTTACCCCATTTGATGTTCTTTCCCTCTACCTTAGCTAATAATTTCTACAATGCACACATAAGCCAGCATATCCTGACTTCCCCAATTCCTTTTGCTACCTTTGTTTTTCTTTCTTTTAGCAGAAATAATTGAGAGATCAATGAGGTTACTGTGCCAGGTCTATTGCTCAACTCCCTAGTTTCATGTTGTGGTAGGATGTAGCAGGAAACTTGAAGAAATCCAAAGAACAGCCAAATCTCTTCTTTTGTTCACTCTCAGAGGCCTACCTTGCCTGTGTAACAGGGATGATTTAGCATTAAAAGATTAAATATATTTTTTATTACAGTATGTCTCATCCCAATGGAGACAATGTTAGGGTTCATATTAGCACTACTGGGTGCTTTTGTTTTCTCTTTCTGTTTTAGCAATGCAAAAAAAAAAAAAAATTCTCTTCCCTGTTACAGGTGCTTGAAACTGCAATGAATTTCATGAAGTGAATGGAATTGTTTGCGATTCTAATCAAGGGAGCTGCAGAATTTGACCAGCCGTCTTAAAACCATTGTATTTATTTTTAAGATTCAAAATGTTATATTGATAACTTCAACAATTGTAGGGACTATCCTGTTATATTGACCTTGATAATGTTATTAAACATAGTAAATACAACGTTTCTTTGCTAAAATGGAAAGATGAGATGCTCAGTCACTTAGAGCTTCATATGGTAATCATCAGGAAAACAGCTCCTTTTTAAAATGTAGCTGTCAAACTGACAGGTTGCAAAAGAAGCAGAATTCCAGCTATTCAGTAGTTATAAAAGATCAAGGTGATCCAGTTGAATCAGACCATCAAAGAGGGAGACTTGAATTTGTTGAATTCAAATCTTTTTTTTCTTCTGTTTGCTGACTTAGGCTGGTCACAGCCACAGGTTCATAAGAAATCCGTAATAAACTTTTGAGCAGTTACTTATTCCAAGATGGCACTGAACATCAAACAGCTGTCAATTATAAGGCGGCAGAGACTTGAATAAAAATGCAACTGCCTTTTTTGAGAAATGCTTTGGGTTGATTACAACCACTTTGACATAAGATGCAATTCTTTGCAAGCGCAGATAGCAACTGATTCTGGCAATTTCCTTATGGGAATTTTTCCAGGGTATGTGATGTCAGCAAATGTCTGAAAATAAGCTGTGGATGCACTACGAGGATCATTTAGAAGTCTTTTGTGAACAAGACATTCTGTGTCTGTTATAGTTTAGACAAGATTGTATAACTTTATTGATTCCTGACCCTTTGTCCCTGTCTGTCGCTCAGCCTCCACCACTCTAAACCAGCCTTTTCTTTGGAGCTGTGCAAACCTTGGGGTTTTTTCACACACTTGTTAATGTATTTGCCAAGATAGTTGGGACTTCTTTGCAAAGGTGCTACTGCTCTGCTGATTGACATTCAGCACGGGCAGGCAGAGCAGGCCAAGGAAAGAAGCAAGAAGCCAGAAAGGAACAAAACCCTCCAATTTTTGAGTTCTTATTCCACATGTCTTTGAATCAGGAGCTCTGGGCCCTTCCCAGCTCTTGAAGGAATGCCAGTTCAGTACAGTGAGTGAATAAGGTGTGTGCGGGGGCGACTGCTTCTCTGTCAGTGTGAGAAGCTTTATTTTAAAAAGTGCCTATTTTTTTGCCAGCATTACAGAGGTTTGAATGGTTTGGAGGCGCTGGTAATGGTTTAGGGAGGCTTTCTTGTTTATGGCCTGTTGCCCAGTCAAATCCAGCCCAGGTCATTAGTGACTAGAAATTGTTACCATGTTAACACAGTCTGATGGATGATGTGAACTGTGCCTGGGTCCAGTTTCTAGCAGAAAAAGCATCACAGAAAACAGTATTGCCGTTGTCCCTAACTGACTCTCTCGCAAGCAAAGGGGGCCGGAGCTGTGCCAGCGGGTTCATTCGGGGCAGAGCTGAGCTGAGGCGTGCAGCTGAGCGCTGGTGTAGCAAGCTTCCTCCGCTGCCGCACATCCTTCCCGTCTCTGCAAAGAGAGAACATTAGCCCGCGAAGCTGTCAAGCTGATGCTTTCCCCAGCGTTGAAATGACAACGCAGGGAAAACAGGCAAGCAAAATGAACAAAAATAAGGAGCACCTTGGCTAAGGAGCACTGATACCTTCTGGTAAAAGGTACACGGAAAAGCATGAATGGTTTCATTCAGAGTTTTGGACCAAAGCCCTGCGTATATGAGGAAAATCATTAACACACCATTAGCAGTCATGCGTTAAAATGGAAATTACTTCTTTATTGTAATCTCTAATTTTATTTTATAATGTTTTCACTTTCTTTTTTGCATTTTGCTTCTTTGGACCCTCGTACTGGTCATTTTCACTTTGCTTGTATTTAATTTCACTCCTTTGTTTGCCTATTTGTTCTTCCATCTGAAAAGCTTTCATGTTGGGTAACTTGCTCTGCAGCAAGGGTAGAAGGGAGGCAGGTGGGCAGGCAAGTTGAATTCTGGTTTTGGCTCTGCCACCGGTTGCTTGGCAAGCTGTTTACACCACTCTGTGCCTTACTTTCCCACAGAAAGGGACTCACAGTCGAAGAACAGTTTAAAATCAAAAAAGAGCTGTGCATCTACTACTGCTATTTACTGAAGGAAAACACAAATGAAACCAAGTCTTTTACTCCCTGTGCTCCTTAAAAGTGCATATGAGTTCATTAAGCCCAGTGAGCCTCTGTTCTTCATTTTCCTTTCCTGATTTAGGTCTAGATGTTGAGTCATCATCGATGTACACATCCAAACCAGACATCTTAGCCTTCAAATTGTAAAAAATCCAAAACATTCTAGATTCTTCAGCCCATTTAACAGATGTGATATGCAAGTAGCAAATCCTAGTAACTAGTGAAACACAGTTACAGTGCAGATCTGAACTGACACTGCAGAGAGTATATACTGCTGTCTCCCTAAACTTCAATATTCTCTCTATTCCCTTCCCTGCAATTTAATTTGGATAATGTGTCCACCAACAGGGCACAGTAGTTTAAGGGCACAGTTGCTGTATAATTTTATATTACATACAGTCTTTTAAAACTGTTGCAGATAAGAATAGAAATAGTGTTGTTTCTCTGCCTAGGCCACGGTGCCCCATTTCCAGTATCATTAATTCACTATAACTGAAACCCTTTTCCCTCAGGAATGGCTGGGATCATAGCAACAATGTTGATGCAGAGGCAGGTTAAGAGCCAGCGGCAGCAGCATGCCGAAAAGCTTACTGACAATGGTCTCTGTCTCTCTGTAGACCTGGAAACCCAGCCTCTTGCACCAGATTTCCTCATTCATGTCCATAAAATTCTTCAGGTACCAAAAATTCTGTAAGTTAAATGGCAAAACTTAAAAATTGCAAGCTTGAGTAATGCTCCTGACAGCTCAGTGTCAGCTCAGACTCAAAGTTCAGAGGAACGTGAAATATATCTGCAGTTTGTCTAATATGCAACACTTGAATATAGTGAAAAGTTCTTGCTCCAAAAAAAATTTCTTTCCTGGAGGTTAGCTTCGATTCCAAAGCTGAAGAATAAATAGCCTTTGCCATCTTTACTGTAAGGCAACTGCAACTCACTGAGTTAAATGTTTAATTCATGTACTGATCTTCACCAAAGCATTTGCCAGTGTGACACCTGATAGCGTGGCATTCTGCAGTCTGCAGTTAGCAATGCTGCACTGTGTTCAGTGGGACAGTATTGTATCTATATACAGTGGGGTTTGGCTGTGTAAATGCCTTCATTTGTTGGTGGCGCTATGCGAATACATATACTTATTATTCCTAAGTTACAGGGTAGCAGTGGGATGCAAGAATCTTCCATTAAAAATGTGAAGAGTAGTTTGATTTTGTTGTGAATGGAAACCAGCTTATATTTGTAAGGATTTCTAAAGCTAATAATGGACATGGTCGTGCTTCTTCAGTTGGCTTCCCATCTTGTTCCATAAAACGGCCAAACAATCTCTGAACAGACAGAACAAAAGAATTCATCTTTAATACTTCTTTCTTCCTAATTCTACACTCTTTTACTACCCATGTCAGTTACTGAATGCTTTTTTAACCTTTTATGACTATTGACATATTCTCTTTTGTCTCCGCTCATCCCACTATATACCTGGAACACAACTTTAATGTACATTACGCTATTCATTTGTTGAAGAAGTAACTGAAAACTCACAAAAAGTGATCACTTGCTGTTCTGTGTGCAGCCAACTAGTCCTTGTTTGCTCACTGTTGCACACACGGTAAAGTTCTTGGGGTTTAGGCTTAGGTTAGGTATACAGTAAAGTAATTGTAATTTCCAAAGCAGGATCTAGAAAATACCATTCATAATAGTTAAGGGAAGAGCTGTTTGGCTGAAAAGGGTTGGGAGGTTTTTCAAACCGAGAGTTAAAAAGGGATCTTCATTGTTTCTGCCCCTCCCATCTGCTGTTCTCTGCAGCTGAAAATGGGGCAGAAAGCCAACATCATGACATTTGAGCAGACAGCAGTTTATGGAAGTGTCTATTACAATTCCACACCCACACCCTCGGTAGAAAGGAGCCTTCTCCCTGGCCATTTCAAGCAAACTTGCTGCCAGAGGGTTACAGCTGATGTGAGGCTTCATCCCCTGAGCCTGGGATTTGTAGGCAGACTCTTAAATTTTTCTATGTAGGTTTTAAATACAGATTCCCCTTCCTCTGCTTGCCTACTGCTCTCCTCCAGAAGGAATCAAAAGAATTTCCAAAACACGCTGTAGAGTTTTCTCAGCCCTCGTGTGCCATTAGTACAAGTGGGTTGGACTGCGGCATCAGAGAAAGTGCAGAAGCACGGTGATTAATATGAGCATTGTCTTTTGCCTCACTTAGTGATCATAAACATTGGTGAAATACCTCGCAAATTACTGTAGGCTACCCGCTACGGTAGGTGACCCGCTACTGGTCTCTCAGGATTGCAACTGGTCTTAGAAGGGAACAATATAGATCAAATGGCTTTTTCAGCCCGCTTGATTTTTGTTGCTGTTCTTTTATGATGAGCACTTTCAGCAGTTCCACGAGTATCCTTCATCATTTTCCCTGAAAGAAATATTAATATAAATTATTAATAAATACATGCATACATATAGGCCATATATAAAGCATCTGTGCATATACATCCACTCCCCTTTCTTCTATTTAAATAGTGTTCAGTGATTGTTCATTTCTCTTTAAAGGATGAGTCACCTGGCTCACTCTGGAGTCAGGAATCTAGACTCAAAACGGTAGCTGCACAACGATTCAGCTGTGTGGCTTGATCAGTTGTTTTACTGGACCTCAAAAAGTAACCGCACTCTGGGGCATCTTCTGTATCTTCAGTCTCCTAAATAACAAGAAAAATATTATTCCTGTTTCTCCTTACATTCTCTTTCCTTGATTTTTTATTTGAATTAAATATTAGAGAGTAAGCACGTGGATATAAAACGAACTGAATTATGCTGGATTGGCAGCCTTAGAAAGTGAAGTTCTCTGTTTCTTGGTAGCACAAGGACACTAGTAAAACACAGCAAGGATACTCCCCTCTGCCTGCCCAATTAAACAGTGATCGAAGACCAGAGCTGGTGGTGAGCAGCTAGAGCAGTCGCCATATGCATTCTTTCTTGGACTTCTAGTGAGACACGTACACCATGTGAACTAAACTGCCACCTTAGATGCATTTCATGTAGAGCATCAGCTGGCATGCGGAGAGATCAGTGCTCCTTGGTGCTGTGAAAGGTCACCCGTACGTAAGCAGAACCACCGACAGAATGACAAAAGATGATCTGTCATGCTTCAGTTGTGCGGCGGAGCAAGTGGAGGGTTCTTGAAATGAATGAATGTTAGACTTTGTTAGGAATAAAACCAAGAGCTTGAAGGTAAAGCAGTAAGACATTTGCTTTTATATTTAGCAATAAATTGAGGAAGGGATACCTGAAGGTGGATGCATTTTCCTGTCATGTGTAGAGAACATGAAGATAAAACGTGTAATGCTGCTTAACAGAGTGATTAAACTATATCAATAAATTAAGTGAACTTTTACGTCTCTGGCTCTTCGTAAGTCTTGAATAAAGAATGACATGAGATTGCTCACTTATTAGTAAGGGGTTAATCACCATTTTAATTCCTAGATCTGAAGAGAAAGATGGAAATGTAAGGGGAAAAAGATGTAGATTAGCATATCTCACCTGAATAGCTGCGTGGAGTGCAGCAGCAGAAGTGCTGTCAGACATAAACAAAGAATGAAGACAAAGCAAAAGGAGAGCGTACGTACTGCCGGAGCGGCCTGGTTTAACCAATGAAAAAGACAATGATGAAAGGAAACCGGTGTTGCCATTACAGAGGTGTTGCAAAAGTGGATTGCCACATTGATAAATTAATTCTGAAGTCTGAATGAGCAATTTATTTTTTCTTTTGTTTTCCTAAGGTCAGTCAAAGGGGCGGTGTGATTCAGTCACACCAGTGGAGGGGATTCCCTTTGGATCTTTGTCTCTTAGTTATCTGTGTTTGGGGTTTTTGGTGGGTTTTTGTTTTTTTTTTTTTTTTGCTTTAACTTGGCTCCTGAACAAACTTGATTACTTCATGTATATCCTGAAGTGTTTTGGGAAGAAATTAGATAATGGGCTGATGAAATGTGGGGGCTTTCTGGAACATGGAAAGTACCACGCTGACAATGAACTCTGTATTTCTCTGGAACCAAGAGAAGACATGCACAGCCTTTAGTGATATTTTTAGCCATTTAGATTATACATGTGCATGTCCATCTTTATGCCTTTTGGTCTCAGGCCCTGCCAAGACCGGGGGAGTTTTTTTAGAAAATGTCTCATTGCTTCCTAGTACCTGTTCAGTGTCCTAACACGCAGTGTTCCACAAAATTTTCACCAAAAAGGGTGTTTAGGGTGCTGCTGGAGCTATCTTGGCTGAGGTTTTCAGTTACAGCTGAATCAGCACAATCTCCAAACAGGTTGCCTTCCTCTGGAGATCTCTCCCTTTGGAGATGTTTCAGACTCATCGGGCAGGAATCCAAGCACCGGGGGCCTCCAGTAGCGTTTAATCTATCAGAAACCGAAGTTGCTGTGTTGGCTGTAGTAACTCATAATTCAAAGAGAACATGTTAGAGAAACTGATCTAGATATTGATTTTAAAACTCGTCTGGCGCGGTATCTCAACATTTCTCTTTCACTGCAGAACAAATTGATTCCTTATATAAATTCTAAAATAGTATGAAGCGTATTGCTGAACTGGCATGAGAATAGCTCCATTGGGGTAGCTCTGATTTTGCAGACTAGGGTTTGGCATATGAAACTGGTGATCAGAAGGAGAATTGGTTGTAAAATATTGCCAGGAGCAGGACTGGGGATTTCTGTTTCCTTAGGAATTCTTCGTATAATAAATGACTAAGCAGACTACACAATAGGTGAGATGAGTTTTATAAGGAGAGGCAATTTCTTTTATTTGTACTGGTTGGTTTAAGAAAAGATACTCCTCCTTGTGAACTCTGCTTTGCTGTTAGCCTTGGACCACCACCGCTGCACCAACGCCACTCCTGCAAGATGAGTTCCCCTGCTGAAAACCGTGTCCTGCGTGCTTCATTTTCCCAGTCTGCAACTGAAGAAACTTCCCTGTCTCTCATATGAGTCATGAGGATAAATTATGTAATTTTTATAAAATATCTTAATTTGCTCCACTGGAAGGACAAAGACCGATAATTTCATAATATGTGACTACCTAAATACCATCTGAACTTTTCTGGGGCTTTGCTTACTGCCTGTGATTTTCCAGAGCTCTTTCAAAACAGAAGATGAGAAATTATGCGCTCATTCTGGGACCATATCTTGTCAGTAATCGCTACTCAGAGATCTGAAGTCTGAAGTTAAGAAAAATGTAAGGGAGCAAGCATAGTTTAAGGGACAACTATCCTTGTGCCAATTTCTCCCTTTTATAAAAAGTTAAGCAACTTACACAGTGATACAGTGAGTCTGAGAAAAGGTTTTTTCCTCCTCAAGTATGGGCCAACAAAATCAGACCCATACCCTGTTGGTTTTTGCTTATGTGATCGCTCAGTAAATGCAAAGTAAACATATTGCTGAATGACATCTGTCCTTTGGATAAACAGAGGACAGATGTATTGCAGTGCAGGAAAGTACAACGTAGACTTTGCAACCAGGACAAAGCTATTAAAATAATAGGTTTGAGTGAGTTAAGGGAAGTGCATGAATGTTTTTTAAAACTGATTTAAGGTAAGCAATGAGCTGTTTCATTACAGTACGTACTGTATGTTCCAGTATGTACTACCATTAACACCAAGCCATTTATCAGTAATACACTAATAGCTCCAGGATTGCTTTACTCGCAGTAGTTATGATACTCACGTAAAATATTTTACAAAAACCTTGAGCCTTGGTGGTGCTGATGGCGCGGCAGAACCATGCTGAGAAGATGGATGATGCCAGTGTCCCATCTTTAGTGTTGGGAGTCCTGACCTGGGCTGCCCTATGTTGGCTGTGAAGGGGCAATGACTTCTACAGAGGTGTCCCTGCGGCACCAAGGTCAGTGGAGCAGGCGAGATTTGGAGAAGGTGTGGTCGGAACATCCCACAAATTAGCTATTCCGTATATTCTCAGGTCTCGTATCGGCTGTGATTGTGGTTTGGCAATGTGACCATAATTTGAGCATGGGACACAGAAGGGCAGAGCGCTTCGCGCTGAGACCGATACACACTTGGCAATCAGTCCCTGATGGTCCTTCTGCTTTCCACGTCGTGAGAAGGATGGGTGCACCAGTAAGGGATGCAGGATCGCAGCTTTGTGAGAACACAGGAGAACTGAGTATCCATTCACACTCATCACTTCTACCTTGTTACTGCTCTGCAGAGTTCCGTGGAGTTGTACTCATCAAAGGCAATCACTGCAGCCCGCTGGGCGCTCAGGGCCAGATACGACTTTTATTCGTCAGACCCACAGAGGCCAGTGCTGCCCGCAAGGAGGTTGTCTGAAAATGTGGCGTTTGGGGCTGGAGCCCGCCACCCTAAGCCCCGGCCGGGCCCTCGCCCTCCTC